TATATATATATATATATTCCTATCAGTGGTATTTTAAAAGTATTCCTTCCTTAGGCATATAACAAGTTGCATATCAATATAACCAATAAGAAGATAGATCCTGACTTTTTGAGAGCACAATTTTAAATTTTTGACTAATTTTAATATATACAGAAGAGAAATTTAGTCACCAATGATAAAATTTTTTAAAAAGTGACTTTTTTATGTGCATTTTTTAAAGCACAAAACAACTGATATGGGTAAAAACCTAAAAATTATGCTACTAATTATCAATTTAACTTAAATTCTTAAATTCATAGGTTCAGATTTTGAAACAAATTTAGAACTAAATTCAACTAATTATGAAGTTTAAAAATACATAATAACACCTGAAATTAACACACTCATAGCCTTTCAGGCTATTAGTATATTTTTATTACAAAGCACATGATATACTATGAAGAACATCTCAGTTAATAGCTATTGATGTTATGCTTTTGCTTTCCTTGATGAGAAATATTCTTACCAGCAAGAGGAGGGCCAAGAAGAACTGGGCAACACTCCACAATTGTGACCAGGCCCACAGCACTGGAAAATCTTTGAGCACCAACAAGGTCCATGAGACTTTCAAAAAGGATACTGCTAACACTTCCAAATCCAAGGCCAAAAAATATAGCATAAAACACCAGGCTTACGTAGTCTTCTGCCAATGGGCACAAGAGATGACACACTCCAGTGAACATAATTGCAAAACTGAAGAAGTACTGGATTCGAGGTCGAACAAGTTTGGTGTTTGCAATGAATCCTACAGAAGGCCTCGCAAACATATCAACAAAAGCCATAACAGACAGCAAGAAGGCTGCAGAGTACTCATCAATTCCTTTGTCTTTAGCATATGGAGCCAAGAATATAATGGGGGCAAAAAATCCTAGAAACATAATGACATTTCCAGATAAGTATATCAAAAATCCCCTGTGCTTGAAAAGGGAGAAATCTAAATACTCATTAATTTTTTTCCATACTGATTTCTTCTTAGGGCGTTTTTTCACACCTGACTCATGCTCTGTTTCTCCAATCTTATTTTGAGACTTAGTAGTTTGTTTGGGTCCGACGGGTCTCATGAGAGCCCCAGCCACACAGGCATTCAACAGTATACCTCCCAAAATCATGAAGCTTCCTTTCCAGCCGAAAGTATTAAAAAGGAACTGATTGAAAGGAGCTAATGTACTTAAGAAAACAGGACTTCCTGCCATGGCGAGTCCATTCGCCATAGGTCGTTTCTTATAGAAGTATTTGCCAATGATAGTTAAGGCGGGTTGCAGGTTGAAGGCTAGACCTAAACCTGCAGAGAACAAAACAGAAGAAAAACACAAACACATTACGCCACTCACAAAAGAAATTACTCTTCAAAACGTACATTCAATTGGGTAAGGCAAAACTCAAAATGCAAAGGCAGGTAGTGATTTTTGTTAATTATAAATATCAGGAGAATGGCACATAAAAAGTTTCTCATCACTGGGCACTTGATAGGTATGACAGTTCATACTGCTTTCATTTTAAAACACAAAAGTAAAACCAAAAATTTTTACGGATGTTTCAATAAACATAGAATAGGTTGAAGCTAAGACAAAATTATTAGTTCTTATAATTACAATCACTTAATTCCACAGATTTCCATCTCTTTATATTTATATACATACACATATATATATGTGATAGATTTTTTCCTTGTGGGGAAGACCACATTTAAAAAGGGAATGCCTTCTTTACAGAATTGAACAGACTATAAAATCTTTGTCACTTATAAACAATCTTAGGTTTCCCCAGAGATATTTCTTCAAAACCATGCAAATCATAAAAAAGAATAAATGCATGACATTAGTTTCATGCTCTCCATCCCTCACATTCCACATTTCATGAATATAGATGCACATGTGTGTTAACTAAAAAAACAAATACTTTTTGGACTTGAAACATATTCTTATTTCAGGGAGTAAAGGTTATTGTTTATATAAGTCACAAGTTCCTGCTGTCTAGGGAACTGCTTGGCCATGCTAAATAGAGTCTTTGAAAATGAATTATGTCTTAAGGCTCACCAAGGTACTATTTAGCAATAGTAATGAATAGTTTGTTTTAAAAGTACATAAAATTGATTTCAATAAACTACCTTTTTTTCACCCTTAGCCTAGGTATTATTCCATAATATTTTAGGAGCTATAGAAGAATTCTGCATTTACCAATTTATGTAAATAGAGACAATACTACAAAGTAGTTAAGTATTTAGATTCTGGAACACTCAGAATCTAAATACAAATACTAAGTACAAATACTTATTGCAAACATTTAATACAAATGTTTTCTACAAGTAGGAGGGTCCCTAAAAGCTGACTGGGCGGAACCAAGAACATGCCCGGAGAGTAACAAGGCAGCGTGCTCTCTGATTCTACCCCTGCCGTTCCCGGGAGACAGGCAGAGTGTAACTAGGCCCAGCTTACAAATAATAAAGTTGACCAGGCTACGGTCAGTGGCTTGTAAGTAAAAGAACCAAAATTAAAATGCAGGAATTGATTTGAATTGTGCTTTTCTTTTTAATTTTTATCTATTGCCTAGAGAGAGAAAGGGAGAGGGAGAGAGATAAATGGATTTGTTGTTCTACTTATTTATTAATTCATTGGTGGATTCTTATATGTGCCATGACTGGAAATCGAACCCACAACCTTGGCTCATGGGGAGGACTCTCTAACCATTTGGCAACCCAGCCAGGGTCCAAATTGTGTTTTGACATTGTGTGCTGAGTGTTCTTTATCTTGTGCCATCTCTCCATTCTGTCACCTGGAATTTTGCCTTCAGCTGTTAATCCGAGTTCTCCTTAGGAGAGAGTGGCCATCTACTTCCCATTCTGGCATAGCAAAACAAACATGAGGTTTGAAATTAAAAACTCTAAATCTGCCTCAACTACTTACCTATGTGTACTACTCGGCAATTAGACTTAAGCTCTAATTCCCTCAACAACAAAAAAAGTTCGCCAAAATCAACTAAGTTCCAGAACTCTAAGATATTATATAATGGCACTGTGATGATTATTATTTGCTAATATTTATTTCAAAGTAACAGAATGCTGGAAACTCTGTAAAGTGCTATATGTTATTTTTTTCCTTTAATCATTCCAAGAACTCCCAAAGAATGGAGCTATCATTTCCCTCACTTAAAGACAAAGAGAATGAGGCATAAGGAGGTTAGTTTACCCGTAATCACACAGCTAAAATGTGCTGAGTCAGGTTTTTAAAAAAGACCTGTCTGTTTTCAGATACCAAAAAGTACTGGCTGATAATGACTTAATATAAATTTTTTATAGGTGTATTTAACAGTAGACTCTGGCAGCACCAAAGCCGTCAAGACTCAAAGGAATGGAACTGAAGTTAGAATGGGGCAAACGTAGGTTTAAAGTTTTGAGTATGTGAAACACAGTTTATTCTTACATTATTATTTATTAATTATTGTGTTGTTTTTCCTACAAACAATTATAAGCCTACTTTTGCTCCACCTGTATAATGCTGTTGATATTTGTGGTACAGTAATACCAAAATCACCTTTTCCTAATACATCTTGTAGGCCCAGTCAGCTTCCATGGTCAAATGTAATATATGGTGAATATTCAGCACAAAGAAAAGGGCATTTTCTCCACTATGAGAATTCTTAGATATAATAAGATTCCCATTCACAAAAGGTGTTTTACCGTATCAAAAAAGAGAGTTGTTGATAAGTAGTAAAGAAAAAGACTTTAACATCACTATGTTGTAGGCTTTAATGAGTCTAACTTTTTTCATCACATGATACATAAGTGCAAGGTTAGACTGATCTAAAATCACATGAAAAAAAGAAACATGGTTACTTTTTTATCTGTGGGCATAAGAAAAAGATTCTATTTCTTTATATATTAAAGTCTAGTTTTTCTTAAAACTAAGTTTGATTCAATTTATTATTGGAGCTAATAAAAATAGTGTTTCCCAAATGTACATATTCGGGTCAGTTTGAGTCCAGAGACATCATGCATGAGAAACAACTATAATCAAATGACAGTATGTCATTTGAAAATATTTGTGTTTAGTGGCAAATGTGCCTCATAGAGCTTTTAAACAGAATCTTTCAGTAAGGAAAAAAGGGGGCACCAAATACAGAGCTGAACCATAAAGAGAACTCAGACACCAATAATTCTATTGTTAAAACCAAGTCAGTGCGTCCAGAAAATACTTTTTGTCACCATTTCTAACCTATTATAAGTGATACATCAGATACTCTAAATACTAATAAGTAACAAAAATTTTTTTTTTTTAAATGAAGCTATTATATGTCAGAAAGCTTCTGTCCACCACCTTAACCAGTGGAAGAGTAAAGGGTAAAACAATAAAAACAGATCAACACTGTTTTGTTTTTGACATTTATACCATAGCACATTATGTATCTGATAAATCGGGGTTTTTTTTTCCATGACTTGAAATAATTTTGATTGGACATTCCATAGCTAGTATTTCAATGTACTAGATGAAAATAATTTAAGATTGTACCCACTATGAAAATTAAATTTAAAGAAAACAATAGAATGTTCTGCTGTTCGAGAGCCTTGTAAGCAGCTTGAGTGTGAACCAGCTGAAAGCTCACCTCCGATGAAGCCCACGGTGACGTAGAGCTCCAGGACGCTGGTTCCGAAGGAGGCCGCCACCAGGCCCGCGCAGCACAGCAAGCCCCCCAGCATCACCACTGGCCGGCTCCCGTATTTATTCACCAAAATACTGCTGATGGGACCTGAGTAGAGATGAGATTACGAAATAATCAGTTGCTGGGTCACTTATTTACTTTTAACATTGTTAATTCTGAAAGCTGAAAACGCACATTTTAATGATCAAAGAACAATAGTAGTTCACATAGAATATAAAGACTTTTCAGTACTTTCCAATCAGTTGGACTGGTTATCTGTAACCATATATATGAAAACATATAAAATAAATTAGAACTGTTTAATATATAGTTTATGACCATAACCACTCAACTTTTGATGGGAAAGTTTTTCAACAAGATATAGCTAAACTGTCTAAAGATCTTCATAAGTGCAGGTAAATATATGTAACAAAAATCTAGGCATTATATAAATGACTTGCATGTGTTAGAATTTTATTTTTTAGTATACTGTGCATACACACACACTCATAGGTAGTGATGTAGCTATCATGGCCTATGAATGTTTGAACTGGATTGTTATTTCTGTGGCTTAGTTGGACGATGGCAGTAACTCACATTAACTGACATTTCAATGAAACCATTTTTGTTGTTAATCTTCACTCAAGGATATTTTTTCCAATGATTTTTTTTTAGGGGGGGGGGGAGAGAGACAGAGAGAAAGAAACATTGATTTGAGAGAGACACATGGACTCTCTGCCATCCACAGGTGCCCTGACCAGGGCTGGGGATCAAACCTGCAACCCAAGTACATGTCCTTGACTGGGAATCAAACCCGAGACCTTTCGGTGCATGGGCCAACACTCTAACCACTGAGCAACACCAGCCAGGGCTCAATCAAACCATTTAAGGATCACTTAAAAAGGAATAGGAAATCCTCATTGTTGTGTGAAAAATCTTCTGTCGACACATTCTGGTAAGACCAAGAAAGCACCAGCATCAGACTCGCAGAATGGATGCAGCAGTGTGGATGGAATTACCAGAGAAAATGGTGCATTTAGCCATTAAAATAGGCTTCCACATGGGAGAAGAGAAAAATCTCCTACGTGAAACATGATCAAAGACTTGGACTCAAAAACTAATTTAGAAGAGCTGGATACTGCCCGGAAAGAAGGTTTTGAAATGTCTTACTCAATTTATGTAATGCACATTTTCTGGATATGTGTGTGTGTGTGTGTATGTGTGTGCGCGCGCGCGCATATAATATTCAGGAGTAATTAAAATTATTAAAATAATCTGTTTAAGTATGTCTAGAAAAGCTCTTTTGGTAATTATAAAATTAAAGTTATAAATATTAATAAAGCGCTGTGCCTTATTTTAATGCATTTTTTTCTTTAATGGTGCTGTATAAAATAATGGTATAACTGTCATGGCCAGATATGCCATGGTTTCAGGTTTGATCCCCGGTCAGGGCACCTACAGGCATCAACCAATGAATGCATAAATAGGTAGAACAACAAATCAATCTCTCTTTCTCTCCTTCTCTTTCTCAAATCAATAAATAAAAATTTAAAATAATGATACAACTTGACAATTGAGGTTTAGAGTCAGTGAAAGTCCACGCTATTTTATGACTTGTCATGTGTAAACTATTTGGTTTGACATTCCCTTCTTAATTTAAAATTATATTTCATCTGAAACTAGGGACACTGCTTTTCTTAAAATTATTGAACTAACTCAATTTAATTCTATTTAACTGAAATTGGTTTAATGCAGTATTTCTTGAGCTCCCAGTATAAAGCCATTTGATACACACCAAGAATAAAATAATAAAAGCATAACTATAATCCTCAATGCATTATAGTCCAGAGAAAGAAATAATCAAGAAGTTATTTTAAAAACTGTGATGGATGTTTTGATAATAATTAGACCATGAGAATAAATTCAAAGGCACTTACCAATTGCTTGGATTAATAATACCTGATATTATGTATACCATTTTCTATGTGGTGCCTAGATCATTAACAAACAAGTTAACAGATTACTACATTTTATAAATGGGTTTGCCCAAAATGTATAAATTTAAATTGGGACATAGGCTGTGAATCACAACTAAATTTGCAATGTATGTGAAATAATTATATCTATATATTGGGATAACCACATAAAGGCTTTTTCCATCACTGATTAATTAAAGGCAACCACTAAAGAAAACATTTAGAGGTGTTAGCATTTGTTTTGTTTGTTTGTTTTTTTGAGATGGTTTTGATAATTTCTAAGTTGGAATTAGTCAAGATACAGTAAGAGTTATAATTTTAACAAATAAAGGATATAACAAATAAAGTTATATGCATTTAGTTAAATGATGAATTACTTACATAATTTATCTATAATCTTTTTTCTAGCAAAAAGAGATATATTTTATAAGTGATTATTTAGAAATAATTAGAGCTCCTTACTCCTAATATTAAATACTTATAAAATATCTACTTTGTAACAGTTGTGGGTCAAACTTAAATTATGATATAAAATAAAATATACTCATTTTGTAAATGCTTAATATTTAAAATTTTTAATGCTTAATATTAGCTCGAGGAGGCCTCTAACATTAGATGTAAAACAACAGCTTCCTTTACCTCTCTCCATCCTACAAGCAGTTTAGTTTGTTATTAACAAGAAAGATAAAATAAATGAATAAATAGATTCTCATCAAATCTGATTTTTATTAAACATGAGCTAGCCTCCCAGGTGTCTCTTTTTGATAAATCATGGACCCAATTATATTCTGAGCTCATTCATTCACTTATTTATTAATTCAATCAATCTGGAAGTTTGTACTCAGCATGTGTTTTCCAAGTAATCAAGATGTTTAATCATTCGTTATGTCAAAAAGAAAATTCTGTACCTGCTGATAGTTATATCTGAATCAATATCTAAGTACAGTAGTTACTGCTCATCAAAAGTCTTTGTTCTATTTGCTCATCAAGCAGTTATAAAAGATGACGTGCAAGAATAATAATGTCTTATTTCCAAAAAATTCACAAAAGTATCAGACTGTATCTAAGTCAGATTATCTGTTCACTAATTTCTTCTGATCCTGCTTTCCAATCTAAGGGTTTTTAGCGTCAAGTATAATGGCCACAGTCATGCTAACTACAAAGTTGTGTAGGAGACTTTCCTCAAAGACCATTGTGAGGATCCCAGCACTGTCACCTGCATTTCAGCTACTACTTTGTCTCCTGAAAGCTACTTCTGTCAGCTACTTCTGTCTTTGGTAGTTGTGGCTCCATAACACTTAGCAAAAGAATACTTATTCTGCCACAGAAGCTTTTGTGGGTTCTTGTAAATTACAGTTTGCCCACTCTTACAACTCCTGCTGCACTTACTTGGTAACACACACACACACACACACAGATGCACACGTGCACACACACACAAAGCACTGACTCTCCATTTCATTTGTCTGAATCTTGTTCATTCTATTCTAAGCTCTGTGAAGGAAGCTGCCATATATACTATTATTATTCATCAACATTTACTGAGTTACTACTCTTTGCAGTTAGTGTGCTAAGAAATGCATGTGCATTATTGCATATGATTTCCGTGGCAGCCTGATGATATGACTGCCTAATCGAAGTTATGTCACAGTTGATAAAACTGAGGTGTGCAAAGTGTTTTGATAACTTGTTCAAGATTACATCAGTGTAAGTGGTAGAATGTGGATATGAGCCCAGGGTCATCTGATTATAAAACTGTGCTAATAACTACTGTGCAGAAGAGTCAACAACAATAGGGCTAAGACACCATCCTTCGAAAGGCCTGACTGCAAGGTTGGCTGGCATCTCAGAACTTGGGTTTCAGAAGTATTCCCACCATTCCCTCACTGATAAGAGTGGCTCCCTGTGCCTGAACTGTTTTACAATGTGGTTTACGCTGAATGTCTGCTTTTTCTTCTGGGAGTCTGGAATTTTGGTATATGCCAGACAGAGAATGCTTATGTGACCACTAACCCGGCAGAAACCTTACGCACTGAGCCTCTGATGAGCTTCCTTGTTAGACAACACTTCACACTGGTCCAAACCAGTTGCTGAAGGAATTAAGCCCATCCTTCGTGATTCCCATGGAAAAAGACTCTCGGAAGTTTGCAACTGGTTTCCTCTGTACTTCATCCTATGTGCTTTTTTCTTTTCTGATTTTGTTTTGCACCCTTTCATTGTAATAAATCATAGCCATAGAAGACATTGTTGAGTTTTGTGAATCTAGAAAGCGAATCATCAAACCTGGGTGTGATCTCTCTTTTTGCTGATTTTAAACTTTGCATATAGTAGTTTTAAACAGATGGATTTTTGTTAATATTTTTAAAAGGTATGACGTGTATGTATGTATGTATGTATGTATGTATGTATGTATACTGGTCTATTGTTTTGTATATTGCTATTCTGTTCTGTAGACATAAACTCACGGTGCTTGTTTTTATTTCTTCTGTATATTGCATGAGTACATAATAAATGCTGTGAGAACATTTGGAGAGCATGTTATGTAATGAACATTTCATAAAATATATTTGATCAATCTAAAACCATGAATTGAAATTGACTATGAATTTGAGCTCTATAAAATTTTTATGCATAGCATAAACACTAACAGAAGAAATGATAAACTGCTATAATTTATTTTTCATTTGCTTTATTTCCAATTTGTATATGTAGTATCCTGTCAAATTAAATGATAAAAAGCACTAGTGCAGGGCTGGGAGAAAGTTGTTTGCTATTTCAAAAATTTATCTGTGTTTACTAGCATAGTATTTTTCTTACTAACAGAGACTTTCTAAATTTGAAATATTTTTCAAAGAGATTTTTTTTTAAATTAGAAAACTGTTGCTATTTTAAGCTGGACAGTGGATGGGCTCCTCTTCATTAGCTACTTGTTTGCCTGAGGTCTATCCCTGCCCTGAAGTTGGGACTGAAAATCCACCTGGTTTCTCTCTTCAGGCTATTTCCTTTAATTTAAATTCAGTGAAAAACATGAAGGGAGTGTCCCTGATCATTGGAAAGCAGCTATTGCATTTGTTTTTTGAACGATGAAGACGTCATTGTTAACCAGGTAAATCATCAGTTAGTATGTTGCTT